TTTTTCCTCTTGTAAAACCATTTTTAAGAGAAACTTTAGCAATCTTTCATACCAAGCTCGAGGAGCCTGCTTCAACCCATACAGTGCCTTGTCCAACTTGAACACATATTCAGAGTGTTCATGACATTCAAAACCTGGAGGTTGCTTTACATAAACTTCTTCCTTGAGGAAGCCATTTAGAAATGCACTTTTGACATCCATTTGGAACAGAGTGAATTCCATATGTGATGCAAAGGCAATGGGGATTTAGATAGCTTCCATGCGAGTAATCGAAGCAAAAGCCTCATCATAACCAATTCTTTCCTTCTAATTATAGCCTTGGACTACTAACCTTGCTTTGTTCCTTGTAGTGTTTCCATGTTCATCAAGCTTATTCCTGAATACCCACCTGGTTCCTATGATGGTTCGATCTAAGGGTCTAGGTACCAGGTGCTATACATTGTTCCTTTCAAACTGATGCAACTCATCTTGCATGGTTGTGATCTAGTCTACATCTTTTAAGGTTTCCTTAATGTTTTTGGGCTCTATTTGGGAAAGAAAGGCTGAGAAGGCAGGTGAATTTCTGGCTTTTGATCTAGTTTGCACTCCTTAATCGAGAGGGGTGATTATGTTATCAAGAGGATGAGAGCTTTTGTATTTCCAGTTTTGCACTTGAACCTCATTTGTAGTTTGGAGCTGGGTAAATCTGACTTGTTCCCTTGCATTCTTCTTTCAGCTACCTGTGGGGTACTTTGAACTGCATCAACCACTCTTTCTTCAGCTTCAGTGGTTTTAATTATGGTACTTGGTTCCTCACCGGCTGATGAGGAAGAGACTACATTGTCTTCACTTGGCTCCTTCACTTGACTCATCATGTCTGCCTTTCCATTTGCCATATCAATGACTTCACTTGGAACTAGCAGATGCTCTCCATCTTGATCACCCTTGTTGCTTTTCTCACAGGAAAGGTAGGATTCGTCAATGATTACATGTACACTCTCCTCTACACACTGAGTTCGCTTATTGTAGACCTTGTAATCTTTACTTTGAGAAGAATATCCCAAGAAGATTCCTTCATCACTCTTGGCATAACATTTGCACCCAAATATTCTTAAGCGAGTCAGATTGGGCTTCCTTCCATTCAGCAACTCATCTGGAGTATTGTTCAAGAGAGACCAGATCATGCACCTATCCATCAAGTAGCAGGCAGTGTTGACATCTTCAGCCTAGAAATTCTTAGCAATCCCACTATCGATCAGCATTGTCCTTGCCATTTCTTCAAGGTTTCTGTTCTTCCTTTCCACAACTCCATTTTGCTGTNGATATGATGGGATGCCCTCAGAGGCTTGATGATGTTATGAGCACATGTACCTATGCACGACATGGCATTCATACGCATATGCATGACATTATAAATATTTTATGATTTACAGAGCTATCCAGATTTACAAGTATAGATAATCAGTTGATGAACCCTCATAGTAGACGAGATTGGCATTCAGCGAAGGATCGGTAAGACTCCACCTCATTCGGAGTGTAGCCGAGTCTATGAGTCATCATTTCAGAGTTTCGCTACAAACTTATGGGTAGGCCGGTACCCTGTCCCATTGAAGTCGAAAAATCTAGAGGCTTTGTAGACATAGAGGTTCATTTTGTACAGTATGTCAAAGGCCTTGACGACCCAAATGTATTCATGTTTTAAGAAAAATAGTTCAGTGATACAGTGTTGCCCACCTATAGTTATACATTAAGAGTTGTGGAAATATTGGCCCATGATAGTTACCAAGAAAAAAAATGAGTTACAGAGTGGTTCGCTCGAGCCAGTGCGGTACTGGGTGCCAGTCACGCCTCCCCAGGTTTGGGGCGTGACAGTAGGTAACATGCATTTTTTACGGGTGGCACCTAGTCCCTTTTCAACCGTTACTCTCTCAGCAAAAACTTTGTTTTTCTTAAGAGACTGAACCCTAACTTGGCAATTTTCTTTGAACTGCCCATTGTTCCCACAGTGGGTACACAGCCAATTGTCAGGTACAGTAACATATTTGCTATAAGGGTTATAAGGAGTTCTTTCCCTTTGAAACCCTATTCCCTGTCTGTTTACACCATTGTTAACGTACATGGCAGTAATAGCATCTGAGGACTAGGTCCACTTAAGAGACTTTTCAAGATCAATTTTAACTCTTTCCAATTCTGGTTGAAATTGTCTGTTTTTCTCAAGTTCAGCACATAGACTATTTTTTACAGCACTTAACTCATTTTCAAGCTTAATATGTGCTTCACTAGCAACTTCTTTCCCTTTCTCAGAATTTTCAGGCCTACATTCTGCTTTGAGTTCCTCTATTGTTTCCCTCAAGTTTATAATCACAACTAAGAGGTCATCTCTTTCTTGCTCTAAGACATCAACTTTCTCCACTAAGTCATTCTTTTCTTTACTGAAATTTTCAATGGTTTCTTTTAAGTCAACAGCTACTACCATCAAATCGTCTCTTTCATGTTCTACACTAGCAACTTTCCCAGTTAGGACCTCCTTTTCATTTTCCAGATTACCTATGGGTTCCTTCAGATCAACCACACAAACTACCAGGTCTTCTCTAGTTTGTTCAGTACCTCCTAACTCTATGGTTAAGGCATCCTTATCATCTACAAGACTATGATAGGCATCAATTAATACATTGGCTAATGATATGAGTTTCTTAGGAGAGTAGGATTTCAGGTTTCTCTGAACATCCTTGAAATTTACCTCATCATTGTCTGACTGAGCCATCAAGGAAAATATTGAATCATATTAATTTGCTTCACTTTCAACGGCCATCATAGAACTATAACCTGCATCATCTTCTTCTTCAGACTCACTGGAGGAATCTCCCCATGCTGCAAGAGCTTGCTTCACAACGTTGTCAGCGACGTTCTTTCTTTTGAAGCGTTTGTCAGGAACCAGGTTCCTCTTGGCTGCTTTATCAGGGTTGTACTTGAAGTGTTCTTGCTTCAGGAGAGGGCAATCTTTGATAAAATGCCCTGGCTTTCCACGTTTATGACAAAAATCATAATTTTTTGGTCAGTTGGAACTGCCTCTCTTTGGTATCCCTCCATTCCTTCTGACCATTTTCTGAAACTTTCTGGTTAAGTAAGCCATGTAACTATCCTCCTCACTTGAGTCATTGCTTTCAACTTTGAGTACCAGGTTCTTTTCCTTCTTTGGTTCTCTTCTTTCACTGTCCTTCTTATTCATCTCGTAGGTCTTCAGATTTCCAACTAGCTCATCTATAGTTAGGGCCTGCAGATCCTTTGCTTCAGTGATGACATTCACTTTACTCTCCCATGAACTGGGAAAGACACTGGGAATTTTCCTCACGAGCTTGTTCCTAGGAATGATTTCACCAAGCGAGTGTAGCTCATTTATGATGGAAGTAATTGTGTGCATGTCTTAAATAGATTCATCGTCCTTCATTCTGAAGAGCTCATACTCAGTGGTGAGCATATCAATCTTAGATTGTTTTATTTGAGTGGTTCTCTCGTGTGCTATTTGCAAAACTTCCCATATTTCCTTGGGGGATTGACAGGCTGAGATCCTATTGTATTCATTAGGTCCTATGCCACACACCAAAATTTTCGTGGCACGAAAGTTTTTCTCCACAACTTTCCTATCTGCATCGTTGCATTCTTTCCTAGTTTTGGCATCATCACTAGAGGGTCTCTGACTTTCTTTGTTGGGACATAATGACCATCACATATAACAGCCCACAACTCAGAATCTTCTGTCATGATAAAGTCATGCATTCTTGTCTTCCACCACCCACAGTATTGCCCATTGAGCCTGGGTGGTCTATACGTAGACTGACCCTCTTCGAAATTTGGTGGAGCAGCCATGAAGATCCTTTCTAGGTGTCAACCTTTAAGAACCCGCTTTGATACCAATTGATAGAATATATGAGTACACCAAACTATATAGAAATCAGGTCCTCTATAGGTTTTCACTAGTAATGCTAATGAAACAGTAAGTAAATAAAATAGGGAGTTTTTACGTGGAAAAATCCCTGCTCAAGGGGATAAAAAACCACGACCTACACTGGTAGGATTTCAACTTCGCTATGAGCAACTTTAGATTACAACCTATGCAATCTAGGAATTAAACTCTTAATCTCTCACTAATTTGTAATACACCTATTACAAGCCACTTTACAATACACATATTATAAAGACTTCAACTCATAACTAACTCTAGTCACGACACAAACACCGAAGGTTTATGATTTACAAGAGATTCCTAATTAAAGCTTCTAGATAAGCAAAGTAGGAATTACAATGAAGAACAATTACAACGTTACAACTCAACTAAGGACATACAAGATACTTGGTGTAGAAACAGGTCCGTAGTAGTGCTGTACTTTGTTCTTGATGCACTTGAGAATTGAATGCTTGATGGATGAATGGTTGGAGTGCTTGAATAAATTCTCAAGTGTTTAAGTGATGTTTTGTTGTAATACACTTGTTAAAACAACTTGGATGACATCACTTGGTTGGTCAAAGGGGAGTGTCTGCAATACTGTGCTGCACTTTTTGCGTGTACTATGCAGACAATCACTTTCCAGCTGTGAACAGCTGACTTCGTACTGCTGTCAGGGAAACACAAGGAGATCAGGTCCCTGTGTTGATTCTTTATCTTCTAAAGTCATAGCAACTCACATTAGCTCGAGTCCGTTGATTGAGTTATGTACCAAGTGTGTCAGGTTCCTTATCTGGTTCTTTGACCGTAAGTTTGTTAGATTATCAAAACATAAAGTTAAGGTACTGTAAACCCATCACTGCTGACTCAAAGTCTGAGTTGGATTGCCAAATCCTAATTTCAAATTCTTCCGATGCACCTGTTTCTGCCTTACCCAACAATGGTTAATTAAATAATCACTTCTTCTGAATATGATTAATATTTGGTTCTTTCTTTGGATTTATCAAGTAGTAAGACTTCTGGGAGAGGTGGTTATTATGAAGTACCAAGGATCTTACTAAAACTTCGCATCTTGCAGTATAGAGAAAGTTCTACGGGTGAAAGCTAAAAGTTGTGCTATGCTATGCTTTTGTGCTGGAATATTAAAGGAAGACTTCTATCCATGGATTCCTCAGGTTGACATGAATGATCACCTGCATGTTTTTCTTTTTTCTCATGTGTTGTTGTGTGAAGTCAAATTAAACAAGTGACATCATTGGTGCATGAAACAGGTTGTTTCAATTTTTGTTCCGCTTCTGAAATTCTATACCCGCAATGGTGTCAGGATATATGCTGTTAGTGGTGAGAATTCTCGTGATTTTATATGGTTTCGTTGTTTTCATGTAAATTTTCCTGTGGCTGAAGCAATTTTCTAATTTTTGCTGCCTAAGTCATGTCCCTCCTGTTGAGTTCTGCTAAGCTAGCTGTTGAGAAAGGGATTGCTCAAGGTGGAAGTGAGTCATATTTCACAAAGTTGTCAGACTATATAGTACTGGCTTTGGTAGAGTCTTTGCATAAGGTTGTCTTAACATCAGTATATGTTTTTTTTTTTCGGTTAGTAAATTTTTTAAGTTTGGTCGATTTTGATTAAGAGAAATGACACTTAATCTGCTATCTCACGCAGGAGCCTATGACAGAAATATGTGGACTCATGTTGTATGAATTGAATAATTGCCTGCAGGTTAGCAAGTTTTTCGCTATGATGGTGGTATATTTCTGTTTTAGCTTTTTATATTCCAATATGATCTAACTGTTGCCTATACATTCCCACACAATAAATAACTCCAATTTTTATGGTCACGTCGATATATGACTAAATATCTAAACAAAACACTCGTCCAAACTCATATAAGTTACTATATTCTACTAAAAGTAAAAGAAAGCTTAGTACAACTCCTGTATAGATACTTGTTATGTGTGTGAACATGCAGAATTAATACCAACAAAGGTTAAATCATAATAAAATGCTTAAAGTGGTGTTTGAATCAAATTTACGACAGAGCGTAATCACAAAAGTTCTCTTGACATGACTAGTGAGTCTGACAGAAAGATTATTAAATTTGTGTTAGATGGACTCCATAGAAAAACCTTATTTCAGCACATCCCTGTTAAGCCAACTTATAAAAATTATTTTCAATGTTTTCTTAGTAGTGTCAAAGCAAAAGAGAACAACAGTGGTAGAATGCAAGTAAAAACGGCAAAAGAAGTACTTCTGTTATAATGATCCTTTTGTAGTACATGTTTTCAGATATGTGGACCACTTCTCACTGAAAGTCAGGTTCGTAGCATCGTCAATGAGATAAAGCATGTCATTACAGAAAGTTCAAGCAGAAAAAATGAACTGAGTGAGAGAGAGAAAACAGAAGACTTTGATGCTGAGGAAGCTGAATTATTGAGTGCGGAAAGAAAACAAGAAGAAAGAGTTCTCAGCTATGTATGTTCTATATAAGAAAAGACCTCAGACATTAAGCACGCAATGTTTTCTTTCTACAAGCATCTCACTTTGAATCTACCATAATTCTTGAATCATCCTATCTTTTTTATTAGGTTGGTGAAATATTGCGCACATTGATCAAAGCTTTCAAGACTTCTTTCTTGCCTTTCCTTGACGAGTTGTCGCCATATTTATTACCTATGTGGGTACGTTATAACCAATATCATCTTAACACCCTTGGTCGTTTATATCTTATTGCTTCCAACATTCAATCTCTTGCTTTTTGAAGGCCAGGGAGAATACAACTAATGAGAGATGTACATCTATTCTCATCTTTGATTCTCTTGTGAAGGAGTGCCCTGAAGCAGCTCTAAAGTAGGTATATATATTTGTATTGGGTTTTTCTTAAATTAGGTTCCAAAATTGACAATTGCGTCATGTGAAAATTAGGTACTATGATGTATGTCTTCCTTTAGTTTTGGAAACAAGCAATGACGAACACCCAAATGTTAGACAGGTTTGTACATCTTAATGGTTGCAAAAGTTTCAGTCAACTTGCGTTTGCTATTTGTGCTTAGTGCTTACATTGATGTTTTGTTCAGAATGCTCTTTATGGACTTGGCCTTTGGGCGGAATATGGTCAGTCTTTTTTCAAACCTTTTGTTGGAGGTATGATATTGTTGAATGTGATATCGAGATCCTTTTCATCATGGAGAAGGGAATAAGAAGTGATATGTTTGTTGTGTTTACTTAATCTTATGACCTGAACCAGAGGCTCTTTCAAGGATCTATGTTGTCCTTACGCATTTAAAAGCTCGTGAACTTGAAAATGAAAGTGCATATGATAATGCTGTTTCTGCACTTGGTAAGATATATCAGTTTCATGGTGAAAGTATCGACTTAGCCCAGGTATATGTCCTTTTTTTGGTTATGCATTCTTATCTTTTATTCTCTTGTTTTTATGTTGTTCTCGTAACTCTTAGATACCCCCAACTAATTCCTTCTACTAGTAATTACATGCGAAAAAGGAATATTTCATGTATTTTTTTGCATAAATATATTCTGATTTGGTTGAAGCCAAACTTGTAATTTCCCATAATTCTTATTTTAACTCATTTGGTAGGTTATTCCATCTTGGTTGAATTGCCTGCCTATAAAAGCTGATTTGGTTGAAGCCAAACTTGTTCATGAACAGTTATGTTCAATGGTCGAAAGGTACTAGATTCTTTTGGTCTAGTTTTATCCTCATTTACTCTTACTTTATTATTTCAACTCTTGATTTTGTTACCTCAGCAATATTGGTCAATTGCTTTTTGTGGTTGATTTTCATTACTTTATAGTATTCCTACATCAATATGATTTATCAAACTTCTTTACCTTGTTGTATAACCAAAAATGAGAACATTACAAATGCCAACATATGTTTAGAAACGTACGTCTTCCCAAGATAAAATGTTTGAAGTGGTATATTAATAGTGTAGTAACTAGTTTTGATATGCTCTGGTATAAGAAAAATTTCAATCGGTGGTGAAACCATTTAATACAGATGATAATTGACTTCTCAGATGCCGCGATCCAACTTGATAAATGCATCTTGCTGGTAGTTGTTACTGTGTTTTCAGTAAACAAATTAAACATTAACATGAAGTTTTTAAACTCTAATATGTGTCTCGTGTATTAACGCCTTTTTAGTCTTCTACTGTTAACCAATTTTCTCACTTGCAGGTCAGACAAAGAACTTCTAGGTCCCAACTATCAATACCTTCCAAAAGTTGTTTCAGTTTTTGCAGAGGTCAGTTTGAAATCAAACTATTAGATGCCAGATTGAGTTGTTCATTTTTGATAGATATAAAGATTTTGCAACTGTGATCCTTTTACTTATTATTTGTAAGCAAAGTATTAAAACCTTATGAAATTGGAAGAATTACATTTGTCTGTATTTTTGTTTGTGCCTTGTTTTCAAAGTCTCGATTCAACTAACAGGTCTCTAGCTGAAAATATCTGATAAAACATAAGGTAAGAGTTAATCTATTAAAGTAAACTAAAAACAAGTCCAATTATGTAGCAATAACACTGTTCCAGGACTCCTCATGTTTCTTTCCCCTCTGCTTTTAATTTTGTATAAATAGTTGATTGATATGTGGATACGACTGTCTCATTATGTTTTTGAATGTAATATTTTATGTATATGTAAACATTTGGTAACTAACTGGTACTTCTTCTCTAGGTTCTATGTTCTGAAAAGCATCTTGCAACAAAAGAAACTGCAGATCGCATGATTAATGTATTAAGGCATTTTCAGCAAACACTACCACCATCCACCATGGAATCAACATGGTCATATCTTTTGCCTCAACAGGAGATGAAATTGAAATCCATTCTATCAGTTGAAGAAAGTGACCTTAAGGCCATCGTCAACGGATACCATCATGGCAAGAGATCCCCTCAAAACCATCAGCTTTCTACGAATATTAGTACGATAAAATCCACCATCATGAGGGACATCCAAAAGTTTGAATTCATCCTTAATCAAATCGAAACAAATAATGAATTCCATATTTGAAGTAGCAAGCCAATATACTAAATCATTTAGAGAAATCTCAGGTCCGTATGCAACCGTTTGGCAAAGAAGCATGAATGGTACCGTTTTCCACGAACCTGAACTGAGAGTAGTGTAAACCCAAGCCAAATATGCTCCTTCATCTTTACTCCAAATGGGCTCAAAAGGGACTTTCAAAAGTTTATAGTCATTGCTTTCTTGAACATAACCAAGTCTCATATTAGTTAATCTCGTACACTCAGATGGTACATTAATGCACTTATATTTCTTAGTAGCAGGATTACACAGGATGACTTCTGTTAAACCATAATAAGAAAATTCAAACTTCGCAAAGTGTTCAGTCTCAATAGTAAAAGGTGAAGGCAATTTTAATAAACCGTCACTATTTTTAAGATGGAGCAAAGAAAGATCTGGTAATGCAAGATTATCACGATTCTGAAGAATTAAGTGTAGGAGCAGAACGAGAACTTTGATGGTTGAGGTGAAGTTTAATGAAAGTAGCTAGGGCTTTTGAGGAAACTGTACCATGATTTGGATACAGACCTAAAGCGAGCAGTACATTCACAGGAAGCCTTACGAGTATCTGTACCATTGTATCTTTCGGCAAACTGGAGGCCAGTGATTCTTCATCGTAGTTGCTTTGATCAACCATGGAAGCTGCATCCAATATGAAAGTGAATCCTGAAATAGGAGCAGTCAAACAAAGCTAGTATAGGTTTATTAAATGGGAATTTTGACCGATCAAACTAGATTAAATTCCTGACACCAAGTAGTCATTTTAAGCATGCATGTTGTTTAAAATATATTCACCGTTTACGGTACATTTAAAGATTAGTCAATTCGCTCAAATTTCAGGACATAACGTCCTAAAGTTTAAACCTCAGAGTTCAAACTTCAGGACATCGTGTCCTAAAGTTCAAAAATTACGCCTAGAGGTTGAATCTTATGTCCTGAATTTTATATTAGGAGTTCAGAAATTTAGAATATATAGTCATGAATTTCAAATTAGCAGCTCAAAAATTCAAGATAATTTTTTTTAGGATACTTACTCTTGAAGTTTGTGTGAATTGAGTCTGTAAATACATTGTAAATTATGAATATATTTTAAATAGCGGACGTAAAAGTGGCTACTGGTGCATTTCACCCATTGAAATGATAAGCAGTTCAAAGTTATTTGGATCAAGATGAATTACATAATGAGTCGTAGCTCAATTGGTCTAATTCTCATTCTTTATTTATTTTGTTATGATTGTTTAATTACCAAATAAAACTAACCGGCTTTTTTTCTTTATTATGGTTATATCTTACATAACAAACAATAAGAAATTAGAAAAATATTTTGATTAATTCTCTTATGAGTAAATTTTGGCTACATATTTAGCTCAACTTCAAAATGAGCTAATTTGGATGGTATCCAAATTGCTTTAAATTGAATGGATATACAGTTAATAAAAGAATATCTTTTTTCTCTGGAAATAGGGATATTTTTATTCATCACTAAAGAGTTAGATAATAGTATGAGTCAGTCCATTGGGATCATCTTGCCTTACATTACTAGATTAGTAGAGTGCATAAGAACACATAAGCATGACTAAATTATTTCTACTATGCTTATGCTTGTGCCGTAACAGATTTGGAAGGCTTAGCAGGGTAGCTAAATTATTAACATTAGCCTGGTTGAGACCATACACACGAGCAACTTTATTTCCTTCACGGAGCCTACACACTACTGATTTTTGTTGACCCCAAACAAGGTAGTACTTTTTTTTTTCCTTCTAGATATCAAGGCCTCAAATGCACCTAAATTGACTGAAATTTTTTATTTTGTGTCTCATACAACTGACACTGATTGTATGAGACAACTTTTTTGTCTCATAGTTTTGTGGACCCACATTTCTGTAGACCCAGAAATGTAAGATTGGGGTCTACAAATTTGTGAGACAAAAGAAGCTTCATACAACTAGTGTTAGTTGTATGAGACACAAAATAAAACTTCTCTAAATTGACCTATAGCTTGAGTTTTTCAGATTCTTATTTTCTCTAATAATTGCTCTATTTTAATTTTTTTATTTATATAAAAAAAACTGCTCATCAGTTTTAAGTCAAAATTCTCGAACATTGAATATACTTGTTGGTATCTATTTTTTTTTTTTAAATAAGCTAGAAAGTTCCTAATGTCATATATATTGCTTCACTTGATAATTTTTTTAGTATAATTTACTTTTCAATTTTAGCGAAACAACTATTCTACTTCTCTTTTCTTGGTTTTGTTAACTTTAAGAATTACTACTACGTAATAAATATTTAGACAGCTAAAATAGAAATTGGATAACTTTAGATAAACACCGAAAATTGTCTGTTTATTCCCATGTTTTTGGCCAGTTGCCCAATTTCTCATTTAACCCGCAAAGAAAAAGAAAAAAGAGCAAATCGTATAAATTTTATACGAGGTACAGGCTTTTAGAAATTTACAAATAAAGTGCTCCTCCCCCTTGGTCTGCTATCTGAAACCATCCGCCGCCCCCTTCCGGCGAACGGAACTTCATTGCCAGGCTTCGCGCTCAGGTTCGTCCAAGATAAAAGCCCTAACACTGCCAATTCGCCCTTCCAATTTTGTTCCTATCTAATTCTGAATTGCATGCTGTTGACTTTTTATGTAGTAGTATTAACTGTTTTATGTAGTAGTATTTATTGTTTTTGTGGTGTAAATTAGTGGTGTCGAGTTTGCATTGTGGTTCAGATTTTATGGTTTTGAGTTTGTAATCTAAGATATGGGGATAATTTTAGTAGCACATAGTTGTTGAAAAATGCCTTGAATCTTCTGAAACCTAAGTATATACGTCAGTTATGAGTTTTTGTACTTATCTCGGACTAATGCTTGCTCAATTTCCCTTCATCTGCTTGTGTTTTTTTTAATTATTTAAAAAACCAATACTTTTCCTGATAAAATGCATATTGAGATGTATTGAGAGAATGTTAGTTTTTTTATAAAAAAAAAAAATTTCGAATCTGCTGAAGAATTTCTGTTAGTGTTTAACTTATCAAAAACCTATCAAAGATAAATGAATTAAATAGTTAGTTTTTGGAGAATTGCTGGCTGTTTTGATTTTTGAAAATGTTCATAGAGTGTAGCATGATAATTTGCAAAGGCTACAAAATTTATGCATAACAAGTACGGAAATTTAAAGAAACAAGATAATAGCTTAAGGAACCACATCATAATTCTAGTACAATATGCTAATCATCCTCTTCACTATCCGGCACCACTTACATTTTGTCTTCTTCTTCCTCTTCCTCCTTTTCCTCCTCTTCTTCTTCTGGTGGATTTCGACCCCAACCATAATCGTCATAATTAAGTTCAAGGTTCTCCTTAAGCTCTCTAATCTCTTGTATATCGTCGAGATAATTGCTCGCTTTATTCTGACAGCAATATGGCTCCCCAATAGTTGAATAATAATCTAATGTTTCTGGCAAATGCTTTGGAAGTCCTTGATGCAATGCAATTTTTCATTCTCCAAGAGACCCCAATACTCTTCTTCATCTCCTTTCCAAAGCTTAATGTCTTCCAATGCGTGAAACTGACTTTTCCATTTCAAGAATCCCTTTAGACAAAAGTTGAATTACTGCTCCTCCATCTAGAAAATGATTTGCTTGGTATGTGTGTGATATAGCTTGCAGAACTGGAAGACTGTTCCATCGACATAACACTTCCTAGGCGCACCGCTTAGAGTATAACTCAATCCACTTCAGAGTTTCTCCCCATATAGGCATATCTGTACCCCTTCAGATTTCCAAGAGTGTACCTCACCCTCTATAATATGACCCGTGATTCCGAGGGGTTGATTGAAAGATATTGGTTGGTTCTGAAAAAAAAAAAGCAAAGGTTATCATACCATTTATCACCGACACTGTCCAAATAGCAACCAAGCATGTTAGGTTCGAGATAAGGCTCAATTGTGTTTAAATTTCACTCCTTCCTTGAGGGTTCCTCGAGCTACCTTCTCCCTTATGTTTTTTTGCTAAATTGTGCAATGAAAAAAATGTTTTTTTGGCATGGTTAAATTTTTAACTAGAAACTCAGTTAATTTGAATGAGAGGGATGGGTAGTTTGAACTTTGAACAAACGAGGATGTTGTTCCCTTTATATAGAGTAGATCATGGTAGGTTTTGGTGTATGTCTATTGGTCATTGACTGATGGTTCGTTGGTCGACATGATTTATCAGTATAACTTTATTGATTTATAGATGCATGTTTGAAAAGTAACCTAACACGATTTATTATATATAGGTTCAGTCACATGGAGGATCAGAGGTTGACACAGCTACATCCTGGGCCGTTAGACCATAGCGTACTGACAAGACAAAACCATCACAGGTCGAAGGACGTATGGAATGGTGAGGTGGAAAAGCCTATTTTATGTAGACGATCAGATGGTAATTTTTGGAATTTGGTTCATGATCGTCCCATTCATCGACGTGTCCTGCAAATATTAATTGATGCAGGATTTTACGGGGTCTATCGAGTAGGACGTATACAATTAGACCATGCTTTTATTACTTCTCTTGTTGAGAGATGGCGTCCGGAGACGCATACTTTTCACCTAAGAGTTGGGGAAGCCACTATTACGCTACAGGATGTAGCTATTTTGTATGGATTGCCAGTAGAGGGAAGGCTAGTATTGGGCATTGATAGTACAAGAAAGACCGAAGAGTGGCAGGATATGTGTGACGCGTTGCTTGGTTTTAGACCACATAGTGATTGTTTATTTGGTAGTAGGCTTGAGATTAGTGCACTAGCTACATACATGGAGCAACTGCCTTTGCTAGATGATGATGCAGATGAGGTAGTTGTACATCAGAGGGCTAGGTGCTATATGT